TTCAACACTTTATCTAGGAAACGACTACTTAAGTTGAGAATTGGATTGTCCCTAAACAAATTCAGCTAAACATACTTGAAGCATGCAATAGGGTTAATGTGGCCCATACAAACACGCTTATGATACATAATTACTATTTATAAGAGTATACACTAAAATTAAGTGACTTTTTTACTACATTGGTAAATATAAGATAACATTGCTTACAGTTGAAACGTAATTAAATCTTGTTTCGTCTATTAAATGTTGACATGTTCAGTATTTGGTTATGTGTTTAAATGATCGGATAACTTGGTAATAAGACATAAAATTACTTGATTGTACATTGATAAATTCAAGGTGAAACGTTTTGGATTTTAATACGATATCTTTGATATTTTAAGTTTTGTTTCAACGTATTTTTAAAATTGAGAAAGGCGTTAATAACTAAAGACGTTAGCGTTAATATCTTAAAGTGGAAATAAATAAAACTGATTTTCCGAATTAAAATCAATACAATGTTTATTATTGAAAATAAAGAAACCCGTAAAAGGTTTTGCACTTAATTTGATGATACAAAGTGCATAAATAAATTCTACCCTACAGTATATGGTCGCCATACGCTATAAGCACGTTCTAAACATTCATTACGGTGGCATTTAGCAGAGAGCGGTCTTGCTGTTAGTAGTTTTGTCTTCATTTACACCATGCACTTGACTGTGTTTTGTGAAGCGGAACATTGTACTAGTGCGAAATATTGTGCAACAACCGCACGTACTATTTTTATAAACATAAAACAGAATAGTCCTGTTGCTGAAAATATGATTATGAAACATCAACTTCCAAATCTCATAATGTCATGTGACGTATCTTTTGATTTGATAGTACGAAAGAACACATATTTTCTATATTCCAACATTTGACATAAGGCAACATAAGTAGACATTGAGAAAATGCGTTATAAACTTAAGTATGGCGTGAACAGCCCAATAGATTAGATAGCTTCTACTCTACTGGAAGGGGGGTTTCAAAGTATTTCTTTAATGACGAAACCAAGGCCCTATTTCTTGCAAATATACACTTATTTTCTTATTACTAGTAACGTACCATTACCATTACATTACATATCTTGAGACAGTACCAAGATACAAAATACATTTTACTGGTGTTAATCTTGTGGTTTAGAGAATTTGTTGATATCCTCACTAAACAGTTGCCATTAGGACCGTCGCCAGCGAGTCAAGGTGTGTTGTGGTTTAAACCGCTCGCTATAACGTCCTCGTTATGGTCGTTCTGGTGCTGTGAAATGTTTCTTTCAACACTTTGTCTTGGATGAAACTACAAATAGTCTCGTAGAATCTTGGATTGTCCTATCACAAATTCTTGTATACATGCCATCTGCTACTATGAAAATAAAGTTGATTTATGTTTTAAATATATATTTTTATTCTGTACCAAATTAACTTGTAATTTAGTTAACTTTTCATCAGTGAAACATTATTTACGTAAACAAAGGATGGATATGGATTCACATGTTCACCAGTTTTTTTTTTTCATTGCCCTTCATATTAAAGCAGGGATTAAGGCTTGACTATTTAGAACAGCTAGAGGTTGGTTAAATTGACCTCCATCTTCAGTAAGGTTGTTGATCACTTGATCATTTGCTCCTAAAGTGCTTGATCTTGAACTTTAGGCCTTAGAGGAAGTTTGTTATAATGTATATAATTGAGGCATGAACCTTTATCGGGGTTGGTTTATCGTCCATACTCACAAGTATGTGATACATAATTACAAACCATTTAATACATTACATGTAGGCAACTTTAATATTGTATTTGTAAATTAATTAGGAACGAAATTGTCCACTGAAGAACCATTAGGAAAGCCTGTAAGAAAAATATCACTTCGTAATGAAATTAAAGAGAACGAAATAAATCAATCCACCTTGGATTCATCATTTTGCAAATGCAAATGAACTGTATTATACGCTTTTATTGATAAACATGCACAAGTATATTCTACCACATGGTCGTCATAAGCACGTCCGAACCATTCATTACGCCATAGCTTTAACGTTGTAGTTGCTAGCAGTTGTGTCAGGCCTTGTACCATGTTTTGCACTTCACTGTGTTTTGAGAAGTGTAATATAGTTTTACTTTAAAATATTTTGCAGATAGGCCCTACTGTGTGCATTTTTAATATCAACATAAATGGTCACTGATTTAGCCTCAAAATTCAAATACATTATCATAGAATCAGTACATCATATAATCCATAAAAGTACGATTTATTTTAATCTTTTATTTTGTAGTAACTAGTAATATAAATGTACCTTAGTACACATTGGGAAAATGAGTAACATCATTTACCTTTTGCAACTAGTTGACTCAGAAAAAGAATAATTATTTTAAGGAAATACCTTATAATTTAGACGGTAAAACGAATAGTCTGTGTTGTGTATGTTTGCTTTTCAGACATGAAATAAACAATCATGGTAGTCTTTAAAAAATATAAGCTATTGTTGTATAATAGTTCACGTGTTTTATTTTTATATTTAATATTTTGTCTTATGAGATTATGTGATTATTGTCCCCTTTAACATATGCCAAGAACAGCTTGGGCCGTACTTACCACTATATATGAAGTAAATCTTTAGATACAAAATGATTATATTTATAATGCAAAATTTTGTAATTTTTTTAGAGTAATCTACAGCATTGCTTTTATAGGCTGTCAATTAGCTTACCAAGCAGCTGACTCAATAAAGAAACATTTTAAAATATCACAATATAAAATTATTTCGATTAACATTATAACCAATACTTTTTTATAGCTATAAAACATGTTGGCACAAACCCATATATTAAAAAAATTACACTTTTTACTTACCTATAGCGGTTAAAACACGCATGATAATATCTCAAGGGTCAGTTAGGGTTGAGTTTAGAGTGTGGTACGCAATTCTTTCCTCAATACTAAAAAGTCTAACTTTCCCGATTACTGATCTTTAGCAAAAATAGTACGCGATGGCCCAGATGCACGAAATTTACCCTTACCATTACGTACACATATCTGTTTAATCTTCTCAATAATAGTGAAACTCCCGAACTAAATGACATGCGTACTCTAAATAAAAATATTACAAGCTGCTATACCCATGCTTTGCAACGGGAAGAAAATGTGACCTAGAGAGGTATTAAAGTAATTCTGATGTGTGTTTTAAAATACGGCAAATCTATGATTTAGTTTGAAAATATAAACTTATTTAAAAGTGTAAACCTACTTACTTTCAAACTCCTACTTTTTATGTTAATAGATCCAAAAGTATATGACAACATACCTTAGTGTAGCAATAGCATCAATTGCTCCATATTGATACCATTATTCTTCAACTTTAGTCAAGCCTCTTTACATGTAGCTTACTATATTATACTATATTAAATTACAAAATGAAACTTTGAGCAATACTTTACAAAACGTATACGGTACAACCTTTTTTTTAAACCAAACATAACCCTCCTAAATATAAAGCAAACAAATCACAAACATCTTTTTCGAGTAAATAAACAAACACCAGTTCATTGTACTGACCAGCTGTTTCATTAACTAAATTAAATTAAATCATGAAAAACTTTGGAAGCATGCCAGGTGTACAGCCATTTGGAAATCAGCCTGTGGGGCAGAGCCCTTAGGAAATTCGTCCATATCAATACTTTTCGGCAAATTTACACACTCAAAGCTTTATTTTGATGTGCCATATGCCTATATGTTTATTTCGTAAATGACCTTAACCGTTTATATAAAATTTGATGGTATCACTTTAAAAATATAATAGATTGTTTTAATACCTTTATCACTACCTAAATTTTGTAGCAGCGTTAAACTCTAATCGCATAAAAACATAGTGTAATTACATTGGAAACATAAACATTTAAGTAATAAAAAATATGTGTTATAATTTGGAAGCTTCACAAAACTATTTAAATACTAAGCACTCTTGTGATAGCATTTATTTCGCCTCATGTAAGGGCAGAAGGGTGTTGTGATGACGATTGCCGTTTGGACTCTCGCCAGCGAGTCACGGTTATCGTTTAACGTCTCGCTAAAATGTCCCCGGCTATGACACCATCCAACCGCATTTTTATTATACTTTGAAATCATCCACATAATAATTTAAAATTCTTGGGATATTATTTCAAAAAGCGTTCAGAAAGCATTTTTAGAAATTCCACTTAATGTTGTACAATAAATCAATGTATTTATAGTGTAGATTCGAACAAAAGGGATTATGAAGTACACAAAACACCCTCTTAGTCGACGACAACTACGGCATCAATTGTGTTGTACTACGGATAGATAGACTTGTGATAGACTTCAATGTACTGGTGGACTTTAAACCACTGTAATAAGCTGAAAAAACTTTAGAATTATTTAATAAGTAAATATTTTCTGACCCTGGTCTCTCAGAGTTAAAATATAGCGCTGTAAAATATAGCCTAGCTCCATACTCCAGCTGTCTTCAGCTATAGAATACTTCAGGCATGCTTAACACTTTTTCAATATGAGCTACCATTGAATAGATACTATTAGAACAATAAGGCATCAAATCATACAAAGTTAATTTATGATCAACTGTGTTACTTTTTGTTTTAACATACAACACATTATATGACAGATCACTCAAAATGTTGAAACTATTATAACGGGTTTTTTTATAATCAATAATGTTACGTTTATTGTTTTACCATATCCACTGTAAAAATCATGATTTTTTTAATAAACATTATTTCCATAGACTCCTACTTTTCGTATACTCTCTAAGTAATTCTTTTAAGTGCAATGCTTTTGGTTCATTTTGACAGTTATTCAGCTGTAAAATGAGTACCTGATAGAATGATTTATAATTTAATCCTCTATCAACTCAATAAGTTATATTTAATTATTTCAACACATTTACAAAGTTTTTTTTAGCCTTCTAAAGTTAAAAAAAAATATATAGCCTAGATCACAAAAAAGGGTAAGTTTACTCTAAATTCAACTCAAGTATATTGAATTTCAGTTATATAATGTTGTCGTACTCTGATGGTTGAGAACTTATCTGTAATATCTAGGTCTATCTGTCCTCTATAAAACAAAGAAGACTGGCTCTTTTAGGTGAAGAACCTGTTCTGTATCAGAGTATTATCTCCAATAAAGTTTCAGTCGTTATTATAGACGCTTGAGTTTATTTTTAAACGTATTAAATAAAAATATTGTCGTACTGTAGGTTTGTCACGGTTTTTAATTTTTTCTCCCAGTAGTTAATTTTCTTAACATCTTTACGTACTACGTATCCACGTTTTACAGCGTAGTCAACTAGATCTCTTGCCGTTTCCAGCATAAGAGGCGTAGGTTGGTCAGTGGTATCTGAAAATAATTTGGTTTGTAAATGTATTTTATTTTTAAATTTTACCGTACAAAAAAAAACTTAACATATCTCCTTTTTTTTATTTACACTATATGTTATATACACGAATTCGTGGGATTATCGGCTTCGTCACAGTCTTTTACTCGCTGAAATTTCTCTTTCATAAGAGTTTGATGGTTGGTAGTCTGGTTTCATAAAGGGCAAAATGTCCCTCGCAGTGTGTTCCCATTCCCAAACTTCGTGGTGGACAACTAAGGTCAAATGCCCTTGGTATTTCGAATACTTAAGAAAGTTTATGGTGGCCTCACGCATTATCTCAGAAGGTACATCGCCCTCTGAAAATCAAAAATAAACTTAGAGGTAAAGAATGTAAAATTTTCCAATAACTGCGCTTATTAAAAAGGATAGGAATATTTAAAAATTACCTTATGTAAGTAATGCAATGGAGAATTTTAGTCTGTATCATCTAAATATATAAAAGGCAAAGCCCTCACTGACACACTCACTCACTCACTCACTCATCACTAATTCTCCCACTTCCCATTTACCTAGGAGGCTGAAATTTGGTACATCGATTCTTTAGCCATTAAATAGGAAAACTAAGTTGTTTTTATTCTGATCGGACTCTCGGGCTCCGCCCCAGTGGCTCTGGAGTTTCCCATGTTAACCTTATGATTTTTCATATATAAAAGGAATTAATGAATGTTATCAGCTGTTTCAATTAAACAAGTTGGTTCTGTTCTATGATGTTCAATAGCTTTAAAGTTACTAGGATTGCCAACAGGGTGCAGCACTATTATTATTTTCTTAATTTATGACAACAGCTAATTTGCAACCAAAAGGTGAGTGAGCGTAGCGAACGAACTTCAACCTGGAGGCGAGTTAGCGTAGCGAACGAGCTAACCTGAAGGCAAGTGAGCGCAGCGAACGAGCTTATCTTGAAAATTAAGAAGTTAAACGGGGCAAAGCCCGCGGGTACAGCTAGTTGATTATAAAACTAACTGGATCGGCCGCTAGTCTCCGCGACCCGAGCCTAAGGCGGATTTTTTTGGATTTTGCAGGCGTCATGTAAGATAAAGCGTCCCGCACATCTAGCATTGTCGCGGCCAGAACGGAGCACTTCATTCAGCCCTGTACACTTAACTAAAACGTTGCAAGACATTTTAATAATCATTTGTCATGATGTTTTGTACAAGTAATAAAAATGTTAAAATAACGCTTTAGTTTTATACATCGATGGTCTGTATCCATTTTTCACCCTTAACACTCCGCTTGTCATGAAAATAACTGTTATAAAATCTTAAAAATTACAAAATATTTTGATAATTTACTACTGGTTTATCAAAGGTCTTTAAAACCTTAAACTTTAACAAAAATGGGTTTTTAAAAGATGAGCGATGAAAGTAAAAAAAAAACTTTACAATACAAACTCATGCATGGGTTTTAATTTTTTTAAAACGTACTCATTAATAGTTTGTTTAGAATTGATTGTTTTACGTCATTTAAACCCTAAACAGCCTTTTTATTTGAAAATATAAAGTTTAAAAGCAGTCTAAAAGAGTCTGTGGCCTCTAAGACATTTTGCCAAGTACTTTCAGAGTTGAAAAATATTTCATGTAGGCCTACGTGTATAAATGGTGATTAACTTAAAACTTGTTGTGTAGAAATGAATTGTCCCAATAGGATGTTGAATAAATTGCTCTTTATGACATTTCATCCCTTGCTATGCGTGGTATACAGTTATAAACATGCATTATTCAACATTCAATATTCTTCGGTAATAAATACGTACTTTCCAATGTAGTTATATACGCTATGTCCAGCGTGTCTTCAACCAAAGGATACATCTTTTTAATGTATTCATCGTTGCTGGGCTTGACACCAAACCCTCGACCCTCATAAACTCTGCCGTCTCCTCCGATCAGGAAACTGAAAATAATAATCTTCCATGTAAGAGAGAATAGGGTTGCCGTTCGGTATCAAATCTATCTGCTTTCTAGAATAGCTATAACAAAAGTGACAGTAATATTGTGAATTTAAGTTTTTAATATTTTAAAAAAGATTTACAAACACTGTTGAGAAAATGGATAACTAATCATGTAGTATAAATAAATAGGCGTAGCTTTAAACACCAATGCCAATTTAAAATGATATGTTATGATCAGAACCTTTTCTTACTTCCAAGCTAATATACTGGAGAAATATTGCTGTATTTAGCTACAAACTCAAATTACAGGGAATAAAACTGAATAAATATCAACACTGATGCCAGTTTTACACGTTATTAATCTCTAAAAAAAAATAAACTTTTGTCTCAAGAATAACTAAAACGACAAATGGAACATCAAAGTATCATTTTAAAGTCCTAAGAGTTCCATCCCTAGAAAATACACAAAATGTAATATTCTAATATTTCATTTAATATTTTAATCGTCATTGCGACTGAATGTCTGTACTACTGTTACTTGTACTTATCCAGTCCGAATGTTTAAAAAGTAGTGTAGAATAATACGAGAAAGGAAAAACAATCTAAGTTTGATTACCAGCTGATTTCAATTTTGAACCACAATTTCTAGTCTTAACTGAGAACGTTCTGCCATAAACCACTCATCTTATGGGATAGCTTAACCCTTAAACCCTTAACACCTTATCAAAATCATTCAAAGATAGAACTTATCTATTATATCATCTAACACCTACTTGTGTTTGATGTCTGGCAGCCTAAGGACGTCCATGTGCTGAATCTGCAGCTCTTGCACGGTAGACATGCAATCCGTAAAGTTCTTACACTCTGGAGTAGCCGTGTCCGAGAACCATACTACCAGTCTCTGGCCTGGTAGGGCCTCTGCCTTCCGCGGGGGTAGCGAGTCCCATAGTGTACGGGACACTATCTCAACCACGCCCTTGGAGCGGGGATATGTACCTGGGGAAAGAAAGTCCAGAGATCGTAAGTTAAGCTGTAAAAGTCTTGTAGACTGGGTCGTTTGGTGTCGTCCTGTAATCCACCTACTAGGAGGTCACGAATTGTGGATATTTATAGGGATGCACTGTGGACGCGACAATCCCTGGTATGGATTAATGTCCGCACGAGTGAGTACTACTACTATCCACAGTACTATCTTGGTAATTAGACCAATTAGTTAATACCAAGGCAAGAATGTGGTTCGGATTCCACCATAAACTGTAAGTCCCTTAGTTGCCATTAGCTGTTTGGAATTTTAATTAACAGATGTGTCTGAGAGATATATCGGCCTTAGTCCCTAACAAGACTACAAGATCGTGCCACTCATCATACACTCATCCTTCAATCATATTTGGTTTAAAATACGCACACAGTGGCGTCCCAAACTTAAAATAATTGATATAATTGATTAGCAAACATTTCCAGAAAGTCTCTAATGATAGAACGTAATGTATAGCGAACCATGAATCTTAGGTGTGTCAAAAGCATATCCTTACATTACATGCTTGACAGTGCATTGCCACCTTGATTATATTTTAAGAGGAATATGTGTAAAGAATTGGAACAATGTGAGATTATCTGTGTGTCTTTGTTGGGGACTAAAATAGACTGTTTCTTTTGGCAAAAGTTTGCTAGTCCAAACTGATAATTAAGGCTAGGCCAGAATCGAGCCAGAACAAACCTACTGGTTAGTTTCAGGGTTGAACCGGTTGTATGGTTATGAAAAACCATTGTATAAGTATTAACCAATGTGTAAAAATAAAAATTCCCCTTTTGGTAAATATATAAATACTACTTTTATTTGCAAAATTATGTCTGTTGCCATAAACTGTGCAAAACATGTGATCACTATTATATACTTGCACATAATTTATTGAACCTTTTAAAAGGAGAATTATTGAAAGATAGCGTTTTTGTAGACAGTGTTACTTATACACTATCCAAATTATATTTTTTACACATGGTGTTAAGCTTTTGGGCATTTTAGGATGAACACATAACAAATATCGTTCTCAGGCAATAATGTAGCCTAATTTCAAGAACAAGGGGAGAAAATTATGTTTTACCTACCTCATTCAAACCTTTCAATTGTAATGTAAGCAAATTTGGCGGTGTAATAAGCCTTAAAATATCAAAACAAGCTGGCGTCAGCTGTGCCCGATTAATCTATATCTATAAAAGAGGAACTATGTATGTGTGTGTGTGTGTATGTATATACGTTATGGACTCCGAAACCGCTCGACAGATTGTAATGAAACTTTCAGGCATTATTAAGCATCTTTCAAGGATGGTTCGAGTGAAGTTTGGTGCAGATCTATCAAAAGGGCTCTGCCCCAGAGGGTTTTAAGTGGGTCAATGTCAGACTTTTTGATTTACAATGTTTACAAATAAATATAATTTAAAAGCAGATGTTTACTTTTACCAACTGTTTTGTAGGTTTGAATAATTACAACATTCTGTATTAGCATTAGTCATGATTTGAAATAGTGCCACAGTGTTTCTACAGAGTGCAGCACAGAAAACTATTTTACTTTTGAATAAGTCCAAATGTATTAAACCCCAATCGCAGCACACCTGTGCACTTAACAACGTTTAAATTCTCCAATGTTAAATATTAAAACATAAAAACCTTTATCAAAGTATTATAAACAATACAAGGGATGACTTTTTAAAATTGATGACAACAGCTAATTTGCAATCAAAAGGTGAGTGAGCGTAGCGAACGAACATCAACCTGGAGGCGAGTTAGCGTAGCGAACGAGCTAACCTGAAAACAAGTGAGCGCAGCGAACGAGCTCCAACCTAAAGGTGAGTGAGCGTAGCGAACGAACTTCAACCGGGACGTGATTGAGCCATGCGAATACATTTCTAAATATCATATCTCCCACCTGTAGGTTGTCCATCGGAAGTAGTATTTTCCATTATCTGTTCACTAGACCATTTCCCTGTATAAAATAATTATTGTAGCTAAAGAGGGAACGTACGGATACTATTTTTAATAGTCAAGCCAACCTTATCAATGTTACTGATAACCAATATTAAGTTAGTTTACTAAACTATTATATAACAGTACATTGTAGATTGTGTCATTGTGACCTTCGGAAAGAATCATTGGTATTGTATGATTGCTCGGTAGTAATAAAGTAGATTAATTTGTCAGTCTTAGTTCAATAAACACATCTTAAACTTCAAGTTTTTATTTCATTTTCGTTTAAAGGAGTAGTTTTTATCATGCTAAGCATATCAAGTAGTGAATATAAAAACAGTTTATTCAACAGTGAGTTTTAGTTTTGTACCTTATTTTTCTCTGCTTGTTCTAATTGTTAAAATGATTATTGTACAAGTACTTGATAAACATTACAATAAGTTAGTTATCTTGTATGTAGCATGTAAATATATTTTTACATATTGAAAATAAGCCCATTAAATGTTGAGTAAATGAATTCCACTTCTTGGGAAATAGTATTAATTGATTGTTCACGGAATGTAAAGGTCTTGTTGACAAAAAAAAGTTTTCACAGAAACAAGGTGCTTAACAGTATTTAATTTTAAATCAATAGGACCTAAGATGACCCTTACCAGACGCACCCTCAAGCCTAAACAGGTACTGAAAAATATTGAAAAAGGAGGGTTGTCCAAAAAAGGCACTTAAATGGTTGTTAATAACTATTTAATTTTTTTTGTGGAAACAAAGGTGATAAGAGAAATTGGTCGTTACCTATACGGATCATTATGGTTACCCTTTGACAGGAAAATCCCATTCTGTCTAGCATTAAAACATAATATTCTACGACAATAGTTACTAATTTCTTAACAACCGTTAATAAGACTGTATACATATCGATATTGAGATCGCCACACATTACAATGTCTAACTAATATCTATCGAAAATTCCAGCAATATGTCGAGCTTCTCAAGAAATCTATCATTATGTTAGTAGAGTGATGCAATAGTCATGTATAATCGTTGAAATCCCATAGGACGAGCTTTTTTACATCAAATTTCTTACATAAAAGTTCTAGTCAACGTAAATCTCTTTAAACTCAATTAAATAAAGAATAAATATTGCCTCCTTCATGGCAAAACTAGATCGATAGTAAATTGCAGACTGATAGCTTGATATGTTGAATCTACCATATGATAAGATACCTACCATAAGATGAGACCACAAACCTACCATACAGGTTTGGTAAATGCACCATATTTTGATTTTATACATTGTAGCCCATTATAAACCAAACTATTTGAGAATGTATAGACCTTATTTAAAAAACTACAAACAAACAACCCAAGGCTTAGATACATTTTTATCTAAACTGTCCAAAGATTACGCACGAGTCAGATACATTTTTACCTAAACCATCCAAAGATTTGACCCGAGTCACAGTAAGTTATATAATTTAAAAAATAAATTTAAATCGGTCTATGCTTGAGTGCACACGTAACCACCCTAATTAATACGGGGTATTAATAATTTACAGCAATCAAGCATATAATGATCGTACACATCAACAGCCTAACAGTATGTGTAACGGTTTGCAGGCAGTAAATCAAAATTGAACACCGGTTTTTCAGGATTAGGTGAAGTGTATTTGTTATCTCGATCGGTCAATATACACTTAGTAAGCCGGAGTCATGTATGTGTTTGAACAAACACACTCTATCTGAGTAAAGCTGTGTGTTCTAACTTGGTTGCAATACATCTTCCTGTAACCCTTCTCAATTGTGACTTTTGTTTGTGGACTTTCAGGAGTGTCAACGAGTAATTTGTGTTCGTGTGTGAGTGATAAAGCAGCGTTTATAATAGAAAGAGTAATTCAGAAAATAAAAAGCACCAGTAAATTATTTTACTATTATAGTTTACCTAATTATGTTTTTATGGATTGTTTTACAATCTGTAAGTAAATGAGTAGATGAAAGACAGTGTTGAAATTACAACTAACAACTTGTTTATGTGTAAATAACACAAGTATTTTTAAAAATGTGTATTAATTGCACAGTTTACACTAAACTGACTGAAGTTGGTGAAATTCGTGAAATAACATGGTTTTTTCCTTAACCATTAAATTATAAAATCAGTGGTTTATTATGCATTATTTAAACACATTATTCGTAATTACTTTGGGCAATATTTGTAATTATTTTCTTTATTCCAAAATGTTATTGGTTATCAGCAAAGATGAAGACAGGACTCGATAGTATTTAACTGGAAAATACCGTTAAATGTTTCTAATGTTATTATAAATCTTATTTACAACAGTAAATCAAAACATGACCTTATTTACTATTTCGTTTTAAAACATGTAATTATAAATAAATCAACGTTTATTTAAAAGATTTACTTAGCAATAATTTAGATTTGTTATAGATTTATCTGAATTCAGAATTAGTATTCTCTCAATAGAGCACTTTGAATAGTCATTGCTATAGTATTATATTATATCTTTAACTGGACAGACAACAGGGTGGCCGATCCCTGTGGACTTCAAGGATTGGTTTCGTCAACAACTTTCACACTTCTAAGCTGCATGCTCTCTTATTTAAAACTTACCCTTTGTAAATATCCTATTTATAAAGAACCTGCTGATTAATAGCGTGAAATAAATCTCCGTTCATATTGTGTTCAAATCTAGCACAGATAAACCAAAAAACAGTTTTTCAAGTTAAAATATCTTCATATTGTAATCGATTTTCCTGTCTTTAGGATTTATGTCCAGTTTATCAAAAACTATGAAAAATACCATAAAACCTTAAAAAAGGAAGGAATTATAATATTCATAGCTACATAAAGTCTATGATATAAATAATGAGTAAAAAATTAAATTGGATTTCATAAAGTGAAAAAAAAATTGTCTTAGATGCAAAAATTAAAGATGTATAGACATTGGGAATTTTAAAATATGTCTGTGAACAATTATACTAGTATTTGGAAAGAAACTAAATTGAGTAGTCACATTTCATTTATTGTGTTTAAATATCTAAACGACCCTCCATCTATGTTTTACAAATGCATATGCCATAACCTCAACAGTCATTTTACATGTTAATAATATTTTCAATATTTTAACAAGGAATTAGGAAACAACACATTCAACGATCCATACGAATAGAATATATCAAAGCAGTAAAGGCATTTACTTTATACTTACTTAAAACGTATTTACTTACTTTACAGTTACTAAAGGCATTTACTTTATTATCAAAGACTCACATAATGACACACAAATCTCCTACCGGCATATTCTTTTTAGGTATTAAATGTTTCAGCCTTTTTTGACATTCCCTATATTCCAATTTCTCCCCATAAACTTTCTCTGCAATGTACTGGAGCTGCCAGTTTTCCCAAGGGCTGTTTTCCTTCACTGCAGCCACTGCTTGTAGTGTTCTAGCAAACAAGTGTATTGCAAAATTTGGTTAAAAACGTGATTACATTACATAAAAAATATATGTTGTTACTGAATTGATGTAAATCTGCTAATTTTTCTGTACTTAATAAATACTAATTATACAAATTAAATAAATATCTTAAACCACTTTATTTTTTAATGGGTTGAAAAATTCACCCCTAATATAATGAAGCGTTCAACCCTTGTCAAGTAGATACAATGAGTTAACATTATCAGAATTAACTGAGTAAAGTTAGCCCATTATTGGCTACCATTCTGATGTGGGAACTAATTACCACAGTAATGATTTCTCATTACTGTAACGACTCTAATGCAATGTATAGGTTAATGCTACAGGACATATCACTGTAGTGTGACTACTGTTGTTTTGTTAAAAAACACATGTATTTGCATATTAATTTATTTGTGTCTAAGATTTTAATAGGACCACGCGTCTTATGGTTTTGATTTTTTTACCATGCAAGTATTTTTAAAAGTATAATTTAAATATCAAATCAAAGGGAAATCACATTTTCTTAAAAATGTTACTTATCTAACGTCGTGTTTTTATTTTGTGATGATTGTTAATTAAGATGGAACATCAACCAATTTTGTATAACTATTCAGTTATAAGTCCAACCAAAACTATTATATACAGGGTGATTCAATAACAATACCACAACTTTAAAAAAGGGGTTTTTTATTCACTAACTGGTTTTGAGATGTTCAATATGACTTTCTCCGAGCAATATCAACCCGATACTTAAACTCGTTCTTTACTTTTTTCCAGAACTGTTTTCCCTTGCACAAACAACCATTCTCTATAAGCTGTTTCTACCTACGTTTACACCACCTATCAGGAGGGTGAACACCGTTCTTTGCTCGAAATGCACGCTGAACAACTGTCATTCACTTCTGCCGTACTCAATAACACAAAAAGCTTTCTGTTGAGCAGTTGCCATCTTAGCATCAACTGACGCTGACTCCTTGTCAACAGCGCCTCAAGCGAACAAATTAGCAGTTACGAAACTTTATAGCTTACTTAATTCGCCACAAATAGTGTTTGGATTACCTTTTTTTCTTTGTAGAGCTTTCAAATCTTAAAGTTGTGCTATTCATTTTCAATCACCCTGTATATTATTAAATAGGGTAACAATGCTTGACCATTCTATGAAAGAGTTCTCTATGAATAGTGTAGGATGTAATAGGGTATCTTAAACTACATATTCCATTAGGTTAATTTACCTAATCCACAAATTATAAATTATTTTAAAACATGTACTATTGGTTAAACGAAGCGTGTTCCAGCATAGTCCAACAGTGTTTAGCATGTTGGTCTAAATAGTTCACAAATATATACCAAGATACTAATACCAAATTATTATTTTAAATCTGCTAACGACAATATGGAAAACACATTTAAATATTAAATAATTTAATCTAAATAGTAATACGTTCAATTCTATTACTGTGATATTTTTTTTGTTTTGTGAAAAATAAGAATCTGTTCATTGAATAATACATATGTTTATTTACTAGGTTTAATAGTCCTTGTAGGCTAGTGGCAATCTTGGGTTATTTCAAATTGCTGTTGAAGGGTTATTTATCATTCAAAATTTTTTTTTTCAAATACCAAAGTTATTGTATTTTAAATATATACAGAGATTATAAGTTTTCCTTGTAGTCTTCTTCTTTTTTTCACTTTATAATTGTAGTCCATGAAGGCTAACAACCATCTTGGATTCGTATGCCATAAGAGAAATGTTATTTTTTAACTTCAAACAGCCTCTAAAGACTTATTTACCATCTCAAAACATTTTTTTAATACCAAAGTGGTAGTAATTTGTAAAACCAATTGCGCTGTGACATTAAAAATTGTCTTCCTACTTTTGTAGTTGTTTTATGGGCTATGACGTCTAGGCTCCAAGGACTCTAAACACAAATCAATCAATTAAGCTTAAGTATCTTCCTGCTTACCTTTTTTCATCCCTGTACTCCAGGGCATCATGGAACTTTCTGATAACGTCTTTGTCGACCCCCATATTGACAATGGCCATAGTCGTACTCATCATCACGTCAGGATATAATTCAACTAAAACAATACATAGAGTTCGTCAGATTTACATACTTATTCAATTAATTATTAATACAATATTATTGAAAGAACCGGTAAATATTTCAATTAAATATATTCTACGTAACAAAGTTTAAACATGTATATTTTATTATATTTCACCCTAAAAATACTAAACAGTCCTTCATAAACCAGCCTGTTAAAGTTTAAAAAATATACATATTATGAAATGAGAAAATGAGTCTTATTCTCGATCAAAAGATCACTTTGGATCTATAGATAACTATATTTGGCTTTCGAATTGTGGTGGTAGAAAATATAAAAGAAAGCTTAATTTAAAGTATTGTAAAGATGAACTTTAATTATTGCATCTGCATAGTGCACATATTAGACGTATTTCTAAACAATGCTAAGCCTAAACAATGTCAGGGATCTGACCCATACTTTCTCCTAATAACTTGTCAAAACAATAATGATGGGTAAGGCCACATGTGTAGTTTGTAACTCTGTACACCTACACACACATAGATATTACTTTAAAAACCACTTATTTTTGTCAGGAGGGCCCAAAACGAATGTGGGCAACCAAAACTTTTTAAGAAAGCATTTATTTCTCCATTACTATGTATAAGGGTAGGATGTAAAAATCATTTACTGTTGTCAATGGTAAAAATCTAGCATAGTATACAGGAGTTTTTTGTTTGTCTCTGGACGATAGGCACGAATCTGGGATTGTTTTTCACATTACTTCAAGCTAGACCTAGGGGTTGCGGCATTATAGCTTCGATAAAATCCATTGGTGATTTGGCGGGATTTGAACCCGGGACCTCTTAGACCGAAGCCCCGCGCTCTAACCACTAGACCATCTCGCTCCACCATAGTATACAGTGGTAAGATACTCTGCGGTACTTTCCTTTTACAAATAGGCAATGTAAAAAACTTACGTTCGTAGTCGCCAATGAAAGCTATGTCAAATCTGTTGCCGACGTGTTCCCTAAAGTAAGGGAGGAATCCACAGGGTTGGGCAACAAACCCCCGTGCCTCATACACGGTCCCATCATGACTCACTAGAAAACTCAAGCAAAGTTCTGTTATACAAAATATAGTGTGGCCTTTGTTAAGAAATATTTCCCCTGATAGAGACACTTCCACTTCTGAAATACGAATTATCGTGGGCTCTTAGCTATGATGATGTTACTTAACAATTAGTAATTTTTAAAATTCTGATCCAAGTATGACTGAGAATATAAGTGCTGTGGTTTTTAGGCCTCACGGCCATTGTTTAGGTACTGTTCATATATTTACTTGCATGCACTTTATTTGAATACGACTCAGTAATTTAGTATCAATTAGTTAATTAGAAGTTTATACTACCGTTATTTTTGTGGTACAGTAATTTACTGAACGCCTAATAATGAGTTATAAATGTGATTTAATTAATCAACTCACATTCATCTAGGAATATATTCAGAACTTTGAATATTCAAAAAATCTTCAGCATATTTTATTTAAAAAATAATGGTGTGTTGTAAGTTGTAGCTTGTATATTTGTATTTCAGAGTGTTTATGTATTACAAAAACGGAAATAATTATCAAAGCTGAGAGCATACCTATTTATTGGTTAAGCATTAACAAATTTCAAACCTTGTCGTTAAATGTAAATTATTCTTGCTTCATTTCATATTTTGACTTAAATGTTGTCTAATCGTATTTTTAGCATTTTTGACAGTTGTATACTTAAACATTATACAATTTTTAATTTCTAAACCATGATTTCGAAAACCAAAGCATACAAATTTCAAATTCCATTAACAAAAACATGTAAATATCACTTAAAGCCGCCTTTGCAAAAAAAAGTAAAATCCACTATAAATATATTACTCCAATACAACAACTTAGTTTGAAATTTTCACACTAGAAATACTCATCAAATGGTTCCTCCTGTACTCACTTAAAAGGTATATCTTCCATTTCCATCTTCTCCACATAGTACTTGTAGAGTTCCCTCATGGATTTGACACATTCTTCCTTATTGTAACATCTTGGGGCTGGAGTGTTGTAGGTCATCACTACGTACTTCACAGCCTTGGTAAAGGGGGGCAAACTCTTCCTAGGACCCTCTGCCCATTCTTCCCTCGGCACAATGTGTAAGTCAAAGCGGGGGTCCCATCCGTTACAGAGTTTAGTCTGAAAATGATTCATGGGAAAAGTAATGTGATAAGTAATTTATAGTAATGCTTTAGAAATTTGCATGGCTATATACCCTCTGCTTATATTCTTAGAAGCAGCATAACGTTTGTGATGATTTAATTATCGGATATGGAAAAGGCTATATTAGTTTTGATTCCAGGTTAACCGAAGGCAAATGAAAAGGGGAGTTTCATTTATAGTTTCATCGGATACCTTATAGACACAGAAATTGATTTTGGTTACCTTAGTAAAATCTATACTAAAACGATTGCCACTTAACTACTACTAAAACTACTAAACGATAAGTAATGTGTTCGTAAATTAGTTCATCCGTTCATTTTACGTACCCGAAACCATCCAAGGTGACTTTTAATCATAATATAGTACAAAACTATGAAAACGTGTAAAAATACGTCAAAATTTGACGTATTTTTACGTATTTTTACTGCAACATTATAGATACAATTTAATTGTATCTAATACCCATAATCTTTATACTCAGTTTCTTAATTGTTTTGATACTTCCCTTCCTTCTTATGTGTTTTTACATCTTAATAAGAACAAAGCATTTGATATATTGTTTAAAAATACATTAAAGGTGACATTTTGCATAACATGTTTAGTATTTTTTATGTTTGGTGTATTAAACCTTAATGCACCAGATAGAACCTTAGCTACACTGTAAGTTAACACACACACATCTACTCTAAGAATGTTGTAATAACAATATAATATATTACCTGCATTTTGTTATTGATGTAATTCACAGAAAATCCAGTAAATACTAATCGTTTACTATTTCACTTATCATGGAAATCTCCTTTGATTTTCATTTCATTTCAAAGTGTTTTTTTTTTTTGTTGGTTTTGTACAAAGCTTAGGCTCGACTGTTAAATCATCTAGAGTGGTGTGAGTAGCCGCACGTTATCAGAGCAGCCAATATAACATAAGATAACATGTACTATAATGTTGTATTATGATGAAACAAGGGATACTACGTTGGAATATGGCTAAGACTTATTTAGGATGTATTATGTACTGTATACTTAACATTATCTATTTAAAGACTCAAACTATAACCTCGTTTTAAAACGAAATTTAAATAAAAATCACTACCTATTACATAGACCTAATACAAATACTTGTAAGATTTAAAACGAAAAACATGGGGCGCATGCTGATTTAAACAATTAACTTCACCCATTGAACTATTATGATCTATTGCATGCGCCCCACGTTTTTCGTTTTAAATCTTACAAGTATTTATTCTTTCAAAATTGTATAAATTATTTTATACTTTTTAGTGCGTTTAAAAACGTGGCATTTTTTAAAAGTATTTTTATTTATAAATTATTTTCTAGTTTTTAGTCTTTAATGTGTAAATATGTTAAATCTATTTTATATAGCCTCTTAATACACAACCAAAACCCAAAACCTTATTATCTGTAATCAGATGTTTTATCTTTAGTTTGAAATGATTGGTTTATATTTTTACAATATCTTGGGAGCAGAACCTGTACCTCTTAACCTCTGCTCTTCTAACTGTCAAATTTAAGTATTTACAGTTGACTTAAATTAATTTATATGTTTACATTCTTTTAAAATGTAAACATAGAAAATTTAAAGCCAAAGGGGCGTAGCCCAAGGGAAATATGAAAATTAAATGATATAATATTGCATTGTCATCCATTTGTGAGCTATGTTTCAAGTTTCAAGTCTCTAGCTCATCGGGAACTTCGTTTAAAATTGATATCAACATTTGTAGGAAAGCGAGCTAATAAAAACAAGCCCATGGGGCGTAGTTCAAGGGAAATATGAAAATTAAAAGATATAATATTGCATTGTCATCCATTTATGAGCTATGTTTCAAATTTCAAGTCTCTAGCTCATCGGGAAGTATCAAAATTTGCAAGAAAGTGATTTAATAAAAACAAGCCCATGGGGCGTAGCCCAAGGGAAATATGAAAATTAAATGATATAATATTGCATTGTCTTCCATTTGTGAGCTATGTTTCAAGTTTCAAGTCTCTAGCTCGTCGGGAAGTTAGTATAAAATTGATTTAAAAATTTGTACCGGACAAGAAAGCGAACTAATAAAAACGTTTTCTTATAATATAATGTTAGTATAAGATTACCACGGTTATTACAGGTTACACAATTTTAATTGTCTTTTCACAGCTTCACTTTGAACGTTATTAGTGTTGTCATTAAGGTTTGTTAAAAGAGTACCTAATCTATGTATCGAATGAATTAAAATATATCAAATTACATATTCAGAATGTCGTACTCTCATTGACGAAAATATCAAAATTTCAGGTTAAAATTTTATTGTGCATCTGAATTTTGGGTTTTAACAGAAATGCTACGTTTATATTTCTTAAGTGAAACATTGTAATTGTAAAGGCAAATGCCTGTCATGATGTAAGCGAAGTGCTCTAAGCATGAGCTGAAAAATAACAATGTATATATTTTCCTTTATAAAGGTAGGATTTTGTTTATAAAACCCTCAATCAATAAATATCATTAGGCTGAGTTGATATCGTTGAAAACGTAGAAATAAGGGATAAACAGGGATCTGAATTGAATTAAATGGCAAATAAAGCCACAAATGATGACGAAAGAAGCATTTGCCTGTCGCATCAGTCTTGCTTAGTGGACCATCCATCTTGAAATAAGTGACAGCCACAAGTGACAAAGTTTCGGCTAATTTGGCTATTAAAACTTTTATAGTCATCATTTATTTTTATAGCATATTTTCAGTTAGAAAGTGGCTACCTTGGTCCAGTGCTGCTATAGTACAGTAGTAGCGCATTTGACGTAAATGCTATATATAAGAGAAAAAATGTTCCAAAAAAGGCTTTCGATATAAAAAACTTAGATGAATTGTAAATGTAGGTTCTAGCTTACTATATTCTAAATATTGGGACGATTCTTCTTTATATGAGATATATGTTGAACAATATTATCTATAAATGATTGTCACACAATTAATAATCGCTGTTAAAACAGTTGACATTAGTACTGTGATTATTAAAATAGTTTGATGGTTAATATTTGTATAGGTTTGGACACAAGTGTGTCATGGTTCTTTAGTACAGACTTAATAAATTAAATATATGTATTAATTCAAAATTTAATTATGGTTGTACGACCTTAAAGTAAGACATGATTAAGTCATTAAAACTAATTTTGTTGAATCAAGCCTTTAACTGAACGTGGTAAAGTCAAATACTTATATTAATCCTGGTACTCTAATTTTTAACCAATCAAGTTGATTATTTAAAGGAATTTGTAAAATGAAGCGTATTATAGCATACTTAACTATCATACTATTACTCTATCAACTTTGAAAATGAAGGCGAAATATATTTGTGAAATAATACACTCAAACGTAGGTTTAATTAATTGTGTTAATCTTTCATAACAAAACTCGATATGGATGGTAAGCATGCATATACTAAAACCAATAAGATTGAGTTCATAAGTAACTGTTTAATAACTCTGTAAACAATTTGAGAAAATATTTTAATAAACAAAAGAATGCGAAGGCTTTTGGTTTATGCTTCCATTTAAACAGTAATCTGAAGCTAATTAGAGAAAGCGTTTTTTTGTAGCTTCGATGAAAGAAACCCACAAAGTTTTAACCGTCACGATTTTAAACTCAAATACACCTTCGAAAATGCAATATTCCAATATTTCATACGATATACTATAATTTAAAAGACAATCAGGCTTTTAACAAAACTAAGTACATCCGATGCAAGGAATAGAGCTACAATTAACTTCTTGGTTGAGCAAATGGAAATTTAACTCTCAGAGTTGTAACCTTGTTGTAATTGAGCAGACTCTTCTCATCTGAATGCCATTTTGTTTATCTTTTAATTAAAATGTATAATTTATTATTTTCCTTAATTCAGGAAACACTTTGTTGATTTTAATAAATAAAAATGTGATGCAAAGCAGAGAGTATGATAGTAAAGCTTTTATAAATTAATAATAATGTTTTTTTGCATTTGTTCAATCTAAAAAAAGTGTTTCTTTATGTTTAGAATATTTTTTAAAACTTCACAATACATTTGTTAACTTATACAATACTAACCATGTTGTAAACATATTATAGTATTATAGTACTATATGAGAGTATAATCTTCGTTCAGAAAATAATTAATTTATTGACAAAAATAATCTTTCAAAGCTTTAAGAATCCAAATTTACTAATTCACTCTGATGCCATAAGCTTTTTTTGGGTGGTTTGGTTTTCATTCATATAAAGAATTCTAAACACAAAATATAGGTTAAGAACAATTGACCTAGAAGTTTACACTGCGTTACGATATGTTGTTTAACGCAAAATACTACCTTATTATAGATAAATGTCAGAAAATACAACATTAAGCAAATAAATAATTACAATAAATTATAATTTGTGTTCTAGAGCTTTGCAGTAAATTGAGATCGAGTATTTCAGAAAGGTAGATGGGGATTAGTGAAATAAGCATATTACAGGCTTAGGATCGGTGCTGCGAGTCCCGTTAAATCCCTTGTATGTTATGCAAAACTCTCCTTACCATAAAACATTAGGCAATTTGCTGTTCTTCACCAACTCAAAAAATGTCAGTGTTACTGCATTTGTGCTTTTGTTGAAATGTTATTCTGCTTTACATTTTAATTTAGACCATTTTTTAGAGATTTTTTTACAACGTGGCATTTAACGATTAGTAAATAAACATAAAATGCATATATAGATTTATATCACCATACTTTGATACACGAAACAAAGGTTTACAGCAGACTTTGTTGTTTAATATTTTTAATTGTGTTTTATACAACTTTATTTATAATCTGCTCAAGCTTCACAACTTAAATAGTTTTAAAAATATCAAGGTCACTTGTAATATGCGAGAGTAAAATCATTGAATGAATACATAATTCAATATGATTCCACAACAGTATGGGAGAATACGGATTAGATTGAAGAGTAGTCTCAAGCACATAATACAAGATTAAGTACTGTTGTTGTCAATACTTAAGTGGGGTGATTTACTACAATTCAGCGTTTTATAGTAAATGATTATGTAGTTTATTATCTCAGGTTAACATTTTAGGTTTTACAATATAATAGCGTGAACTTTACTCAATAGGTGGCTTATCTTGAACCGAACATTAAATGTAAGTTAACGATTACTTTTGCATTGACCATTTAGGGCCAGCACTTAATGGACTTTTTATTTTAAATATTTAGAATTTATTGAAATAATTTACACAAAATACAATGACTATAGTCTTTTTGGAAATTTTTGTCTAACTATTTCCTTGCTAAAAAAACTTTAAATATTTGTTTACATACAAAATCCTTTGTATCGTGGTTTATTCTATTTGACACGAAATGTTCGCCCTCCTACCCTCAATCCTATTTGAATATGTTAATGTAGTTGTACTGTAAAAAGGTAATCACTTTATTTTTTATAACTAAATTTAAATAATATATTTTACTGTCCCGTAATACAAATTGGTAATTTACCAAATTATTCATCAACTTGGTTAAAACTGTTTACCGATTAATAGCTTTTAAATTCCTTTGCAATAGAATATCAATTTCAATTCTATTCCAGATTACAGTACTCTGGAGGGAATGGACAATGAAGAGCTAGGGAATGACTATTCCCAAGCAATATAAGTGACAAAAGGAAACAGCTATTGGACTTGAGACCTGTTCTGTGGTGTGGTGTATTGTCCTAAATATAGCTGAGGACTCCGGTGCTGTATAACAGTTTATAATGAATAAGTTCAAAATAATTTCATCTCCAACGTAATTAAACTCTCATAATAAATACGTGTTTGTTGTTAAAACACGCTCACACATAAACCAGTATAT